GAGGAGGAGGAGGAGGGGGAAAGGAGGAGGAGGAGGAGGCGGAGATAAAAAGGAGGAGGAGGAGGAGGAGAAGGAGGAGGATAATGAATCCCCCCTGGTGCCCCCCCTGGGGAGGAGGACCAGAGGAGGACCGGCGTGGGAGAGGGGAGGGGAGGGGGAGGAGGAGCCCCAGGGACGGATGTGTATCTGACTCTCCTCCACCCCCTGGGACTCCTCCCCACCTGGGGAGGTGGACCCGAGGAGGACCAGCGCGCCGGAGAAGGACCGGCGCGGGAGAGGAGGACCCCCAGAGGCGATGCGAATCTGACCCCCCCTCTCCCCCCCGGACCCCCCCCCCGCCAGGGAAGGGACAAAGGGAAGGGCTTCCCTTTGACGTAATGAGGACGTGGATGGAATTCCCTCAAGCTGCGAACCCGTTCCCCGAACGAGGAAGGGTGCTCTCTCTATCTCTCTCTCCCCCGACGGGAGAGGAGGATGGGAAGGAGGGGACGAAAGAAGGCTCCCGTCGACGGGGCCAGACAGACACCCCACACGCCGACAGGGTCGGTGTTTTTTTTTCTATCGATCTCACTATCGATCTCACTATCGATCTCACAACCAGTGTCACAATCAACCTCATTGTCGATCTCACTTTTGATCTCACTATCCGTCCAATTCTAGTAGTCTCATTATCGATCTTACTATCGACTTCGCTATCGATACCAAGGTGGGGCACCCCCAGCGACCGCCCGCCCACCGCCGACGGAGCACCGACGGGACACCAACGAGACACCAGCGGGACACCACAGGACCACGGGGCCAACGCGCGCCCACCGGGCGGTCCCCTGCATCCGAATTGCCCTGGCGACGGCGGGGAAATCCCTCTCGCGCGCCCACGCTGCTTCGCCTTGCCCGCACGCGCGACGCGAACACGAAGCCGAAATCGATTTCCCTGTGTGGGGCTATCCGTTCCACTGCGATCTCACCCATAACCTCCGATCGTCGGATACCTCGGAGGGCCTTCGGAGAGCCTTCGAAGGTTCTTCGGAAGGCCTTCGGAGTCAGAGGAGGAACAAGGACTGATGCCACTGCTCCCTTCTCGCCGCCACAGCTGGATTCGCTTCGAAATCTTAGTCAGAATGAGCCCCAGAAGAGGTCCAGAGAGTGGCGAGTGGCGGCGCCGGTATCCTTTCGTTCACCCACGGAGCGCATCTTGGAGGCCTTCGGAAGGCCACCGCCAACCCTCGGCGCCGCCGTGGCGACCCTTTGGCGGCCCTCGGCGGTGGCGGCGCCGCGGCTCGCGATGCAGCTTTCACGCCGCCGCCGCGGATACTGAATCCTCGAATCGAGGATCGACGATTCTTGGTGATCTGCGTTTCTGGGCCTTGGCGGCCCATTTTGCGTGGACCGTCGTCGTCGACGTCGTCGTCATCGTCGTCGTCGTCGTCGTCGTCGTCGGAGTCAGAGTCAGAATCAGAGTCAGAGTCAGAGTCAGAGTCAGAGTCAGAGTTAGAGTCAGGGTCGTCGCCGGAGTCAGAGTCAGAATCAGAGTCAGAGTCAGAGTCAGACTCAGAGTCAGTCGTCGTCGGAGTCAGAGTCAGAGTCGGAATCGTCGTCGTCGTATCGTCGTCGCGTGGTCGTCGCAGGCGGCACGCCGGCGGGTGCCCGCAAGCTCGTGGCGCCGGCGGGTGCGCCGTCGGCAGGGCGGCCGCACCTGCGGCTGTGCGAGGCGCTGGCGCTCGCGGCGAGGTGTCTCGGGTTCCCCCCAGGGGTCGTGGAGAGGAGGCCGTCGTCGTCGTCGTCGTCGTCGTCGTCGTCGTCGTCGTCGTCGTCGTCGTCGTCGTCGTCGTCGTTAGCGTCAGCGTCAGCGTCAGCGTCAGCGTTGTCGTCAGAGAGAGCACCGTCGGCGGCGGCGGCGTCCTCCCCCTTCTCGTCGCCCTCCTGCCCCTCAAGATGAGGAGCAAGGAGGAGGAGGAGGAGGAGGAGGAGGAGGAGGAGGAGGAGGAGGAGGAGGAGGAGGAGGAGGAGGAGGAGGAGGAGGAGGAAGAGAGGAGGGGGAGGAAGACTAAGAAGGGGGGCGGGGGAGCAGGGGGAGGGTGGAGGAGAACGATGGCGGGCATTTGGCGGAAGGGTGTGTGTTTGAGGTTCGACGCTGGAGGTGTACAATATTCTTGACGCTTCCAACCCCAGGTGAGCGACGAGCTGCGGCGCATGCTGCAGTCCGTCGGCTGGCGCCCCGCCAGGGGCTCCTGTGGGAATGGCTTCGGTGGTCTGCCCTTTTTTGAGGGCGGCACGGCCTGGTGGGTGCCCCGCGTGGGTGCCCCAGGTGACGCCGCACACCTCAGTAGAGCCTGCCGAGCAGGTGTCAGCCTCGGCCTCTTGCGTGCGTGCACCCTGGCAGTACTCTGCCCCAGTTCGCTGTCAGCCTCTGAGGCTTCGTCCCATTGGCTTTAGGTTAATTCGTCTTTGCGCGCCCCGCTCTGACTGGACACGCCGTCGGCGCCTTCGCCCGCGGCCGTTGACTAAAAAGTATCCCCGCCGGCCCATCCAGAAAAAATGCCCAGGTGAATTGCCTGGGTCAGGGAAATGCAGGAGGATGCGGCGGAACAAAGAGCAGCCGTCATCTTTCGAAGGAAGAGGAGCAGGGAGGAGGAAAGAGGAGGGCGAGCCGAAGGAAGGGGGAATGGACGGAACGCTTTTCCGCTCAAGTTCGGGTGAATGCTAGGCGGGGGTGGTGGTGGTGGTGGTGTGGGTGGGGGGGGGGAGGGGGGGGCAGGAGCGGGAGGAGGATGATGAGGGTGATGAGGATGTGGAAGAAGAGGAGGAGCAGCAGGAGAAGGATGATGATGATGATGATGATGATGATGATGATGATGATGATGAGGAGGTGGACCAGTGTAAACCTAAGACTCTGAGACTCACCGACGATGTTGGAAGACACACTTCCCTCTGGGCTCCCTCCTTTCAGGACCCTGCAGGGTTCATTCCCGCTGAGGTAAATGCCCCGTTGGGAGACAATTGTTCGAAGATCTTGAAACGTGCCAAAACGCCATTATGTGGGCTCCACCGCCGTGAATCAACCTGACTGTTGCGTCCTGACGTTCCTGAACCGTGCCAGAACACCGTTCTTGGGATCTCACCCGCGCGAATTAACGTTACTGTTGGGACCTGGCAATCTGGAATCCTGCCAATCGCCATTTCCGGTGCGTTCACCGCGGGAACCCATGGAACTTCCACAATTCCGCTAAGGCGAAGGCCACATTTTGAAAAAGAGCCGCCCTCAACCCGTGAAGCTCTTGCAACATTTTACGACGAATGTTCGGTTCGCCACATGAAAACCACCAGCTTTCAATCGCCATTTCCGGTGCGTTCACCGCGGGAACCCATGGAACTTCCACAATTCCGCTAAGGCGAAGGCCACATTTTGAAAAAGAGCCGCCCTCAACCCGTGAAGCTCTTGCAACATTTTACGACGAATGTTCGGTTCGCCACATTTTGAAAACCACCAGCTTTCAATCCGTCGCATGCTTCTACATAGTTTAATACGAATGTGCGCGGCGCTAAGGCGAAAGCCACAGTTTGAAAACCGCCCGCTCTGAACCCGTGAAATATTGCAATTTTTAACGAATGTGCGCGGCGATAAGGCAACAAAAACACATTTTGAAATTCAGCCGCCCTTCATTCGTGATTTTTTCTTTTTCGACGACTGCGCGCTGCGCTGAGGCGAGAAACGCATTTTGAAAACGACGAGCCCTCCCTCTGTAGAACTTTTGCCAGTTTTGAAGCTTCAGGATCATAGATGGTCAAGAAGTCTCCGGCGAACCGCCTGGTCCGCCTTTCCGATTGGTCGCGGGGTGTGACGGGGGGGAATTATGTCAAATGATAAGGACTGGAGGAGGATGAGGAGGATTACGAGGAGTTGGCGAGGAGGAGGATGAAAAGGTGGCAGGATGATGAGGGGGGATGGGGGAGGAAACATCGGGGCGACGGGAGGCCCCAATCCAGCAAACACCGAAGGTGCTTCAACGCTGCTTGCTTACTCGCCATTTCGCCTCCAACGAACATCTGATGCCTTCTGACGGCTCCATTACCGTCCCAGGGAACCGGGGCACATTTTGCGGCTTTGAGCAGAGAGGGTGCCCTTAATGAGCCTCGCCTCGCCAGTGCCCGACATGTCGCCCCTTGGATCCCTATGGCGGCGCTCTTGGAGCGCTCTTCGGGGCTCTTGGGTCCGTCGTGGAACCCCCCTGGGCCCTTGTAGGCGGTTTTGGGTGACCTCGGAGCCATCTGGGGGCCTCGGAGCCAATTGGGCACGAAAAGGCGAGCAGGCACTGAAGTACTGTGGCATCGTTGGGAGGCTCCGTGCTTTGAGGTATGTTGAGAGCCGCCTGGAACCATCTTCGGCTATTTTGTACCATCTTGGCGGACATCTTGGACCATGAGAGGCTGCTTTGGAGACATCAAACATCAGGGGCCGAAAAGGACCCTCTGACACCTCGCCCTCCCCCGGCCAGACCCAGGGGAGAGGGGTATGTGTTTGGGCGACCCATCGGGAACCAATGCAGATGCCTGCCAGATGCGCGACAGCCGCGAGGTGCGCCGCGCGTGCCAGGGCACCCAGATGCAAAATTATCGCGGGGCGCCCGCGCACGGTTTCTGGATTCTGTAGGCTTACGCCACATCCTCCGACCCCTTGATCTAGTCTTGGACTTTCTATTGCTGTCCTGGGGCCTTCTTGGGTTTTTCTGTTGGCGGGTTCGCCGGAACTGCGTGGAGGAGAGGGAGGAAACGGCGCGGAGAGCGAAGGCCAAGGCAGCGAACCGCAAGAGGAAAGCGGAGGCGGAAGCGAAGGCGCTGACGTGCGCGGCGTGCGGGGGAGCTTTCGACGGCACGGAACATCTGAAGAAGGGGCATGTTGAGGGTTATCGAAGAACGAAGCAGGCGCGCGTGGTTTGTGGGGATTGGCAAGCGTGGCAGCACCGCGAAGGGAGTGACCGATGCGGCGAAACAGCTTGAGCGATAATTGAAGTGCGCGGTGAGCGAAAAAGAATTTCCGCGGCATGCACACTAGCGACAGACAGGAGAGTGATCACTTCACGAGGAAGAGTAACGCTGTATTGGCAGATTGCGTCGGCTTCACGGCGCACTGTTGGCAAGCGTACGAGTGTTCCGGCACCTGCTTGAGGAAACTCCGGAAATCTCAGTTCGTTGTTGGACCGCATTTCGAGCGTGCGCGCCAGAGGGGCACCCTGAAGTGCAAGTCGTGCGCGTGAGACCCGCCGAAGCGTTGGGCAGCGCGCGAATGCTCGGGGCCGCAGGGGCGAACAGGAGGAGGAGGGGAATGTGGACGAGGAGGAGGAGGGGGTGGATGATGATGATGATAATGATGATAACGAGGAGGAGGAGGAGGGGGGAGGAGGAGGAGGAGGAGGAGGAGGAGGAGGAGGTGGTGGGAGGGGGAGGAGGAGGGGGAGGAGGAGGAGGAGGGGAAGAGGAGGAGGAGGAGGAGAGGAGGAGGAGGAGGACGAGGGGAGGGGGGAGAGAGGGGAGGAGGTAGGAGGAGGGGGAGGAGGAGGTGGAGGAGGAGGAGGAGGAGCAAAAGGAGGAGGAGGAGGAGGAGGAGGAGGAGGAGGAGGAGGAAAGGGAGGAGGAAAAGGAGGAGGATGAGGAGGAGGAGGAGGAGGAGGAGGAAACAAAAAAAGAAGAATACGAATAGTAATACTAATAATAATACTAATACTAATAATAATACTAAGGATACTAATACGAATAATAATAATAGTAATAATAATAATAATAGAAATAATAAGAAGAATAATCGTAATAAAACAACGAATGATACCACTAATAATAACAATAATAATAATAAGAATAATAATAATACTCAGAATAATAATAAGAAAAATAATAAGAACAATAATACGAATAATAATAATAATAAGAATAATGCGACGACTAATACGAATAAGAGGAATAATAAGAATAATACAAATAAAAATAATGTTAAGAATACTAATGATAATAAGAAGAACGCGAAAACGAATAACACGAATATGGATAATACTACGGCGAAGAATAAGAATCACAATAAGAAGACGTATCATCATAATAAGACGAACAATAAGAATACTAATAATATCAATAATACTAGTAAGAATACTATAAGAGTACTAGGATAATCATACTAAGAAGAAGAATAATAAGGATAGTAAGAAGAATAATACGAATAATAATATCAGTAATAATATTAATAAGAATAATAGTAAGAAGAAGAAAAAGACTACTACTAATAATAATAATAAGAATAATAATATTAAGAATACTAATAATAATGCTAGTACTAATAGTAAGAATAATACGAATCATACGAAGATGAATATGACGAATAACAATAATAAGAAGAATAACACGAAAACTAACAATAAGAATAACAAGAATAATACGAATAATAATACTAAGAATAATACTACTACTAATAATAATGATAATACTAAGGAAACGAAGAAGAATAATAATAAGACTAAGAATACGAATAATACAAATAGTAAGAAAATAATACGACTAATACTACTACTACTAATAATAGTATTACTAATACTACTAATACAACTAATAAAAATAATGATGATATTAATAATAATACTAATGCTGTTATTATTATAAATAATAATAATGATAATACTATAAATAATAATAATACTAAGAATAATAATAATACTAATAATAATATTAATGGTAATAATAATACT